TATATGGAAACCATCTCGATTTGAGGATTGGAAGAACGGAAAAATTCACACAGGATTATTATTGGTGTTTATCGGCTTAAGGAGACTATCAGAAGAGATCATAAAGAAAAAGAGAAAATATATGAACAAGATGTGATGTGGAAACAGCAAGATAAGACTGAATAGAATTATGAACTCTGTTTGGACTGATTTGGATTGATTTGGACATTAACGCAGTAGCAAGAAGATGATCAGAATCCCCCTTCGGATCTTGAAATATGGGTCCCCCCAACAAAAATTTAAAATTCGGCTTTGTAATTCGGAATTTATGTGATGTGATTTAATTTGATTTGATTGGCCGGTTAATAATTTTTTTTTTTTTAAAGGTACCACTCTATTACTAAGGGCTCATCCACACTTATTTGTCCCACCGCTTTCCCCAGGGAAAACCTGCTGCTTGGGGTTGAATTGGAACAAATGGCAATTCATTTTCCTCTGACCTCACTGTCAGGTACAAGGAAGCTACCTTGCACGCCTCCCGTCAGCAAGGGTGGGGTTGGGATAACAGATAGTCAGGGAAAGTACACTTTGGGGTTTTTGATGAAGCACCCGAGCTCCGTCTGTTCCTCTTGTTTTATTCTCCTCCCTCTTTATTGCGTGAGGATGTTATGAAGGTAACTCCAGTTATATAGAATTTGAAGCTATCATTATAAATCTATCTATTTATCTCCCACCTTTTCCCCTAGGGGACTCAAGGCAGCTTAAAAATAAATACTCATTTTAAGAATAAAATATGTGGATTTTTATCTGTAAAGCCTTAATGGTATCTTCTGAAATTCCTTTGGAGCTGCAAGTAAGAAAATGAGGCATTAAAATTATGGCTGTTACAAGTGAATGACATACCTTTATTAATGTGTCTAATGAAGTCTTCCCACATTGGATACTTCTCCTCCACGATTTCCATTGTTTACGTCCTCCTTCAATCTCAAATTGTGATGGTGTGAACCACTCTCCATTGGAACCCTCAATACTTTTTCTTGAAACTCCTTTGACAAAGAGAACAGGCTCATTAATGTTATGCGCCTATACCAGGCATAGGCAACCTCAGCCTGCCAGATATTTTAGTACTACCACTCCCATGATCCCTAGTAAACAGGACTGGTGGTCAGGGATGATGGGAAATGTAGTCCCAAAACATCTGGCACACCGAGGTTGCCTATGCCTGACCTATCCCATTCAGCAGACATCACTGAAGAGAGAAAGAAGCAGAGATGGTGGTGTGGAAGGTGAAAATAAACTTCAAGCTGATCACGGCTAATGCCAAACTTCAGGGCCCCTCAGAATGAACCAGCCCATCACCACAGCTAGACTCCCTGCCACCTGCTTTCCACCCTGTCCCTCTTGTACACGGTCACGATAAATTGTTTCTATATTTTTTGAAAAAATGGGAGCAATCGCCAATTACTTTTCATTCAGATTTATGGGTTGTGATAACTGCCATGTATAAATGTAGATTAATGCATTAATGATAAAGAGAATCAACATGGCACTGTTCTGTTCCAAAAACAAAACATTTAAGCTAAATAAAATTATTTAATCATGCATTAATAAATAGGGAAATATTTCAAAAGCACTGATTGCACCATTGTGGTACTGATGGAATTATTTTAGGCTTGCCCAGGTTCACAGGATACTGTGGAATATAATTAAAGAGCTTTATAGGATATTAGTATTAGAAGTATTCCCAGAAAATAAAAAATACTCACAGACCACCCACATCGATGCATTCTCCTCCCAACACCACACATATATGCAAACACCATTTTTTAAATTTGCTGTTGGTATCACATTCCTTAAACAGATGTAATTATACATTTACTCTTCCAAATGATTACCTGTTGCAAATATATCCGTATGTAAAATGCCTTGTGCTGTTCCACAGGTTACGGGCAGTGTCGTGCCCTGGAAATCCAGACTTTGCTCTTGTGTCCCTTTTCCAAGATGAAATGAAGAAACGGATGTCAAAGGTTACAGTTCCCATATTTTGGGCTGCCAACAAATGACAGCAGTCTTAAGGCAACCTGCTCGCTGTCATCTCTGGAAGCTTTCTAATCATGATGTGTCTTACAGCAACTCAAGAGAGGACCTACTAGTCGTGCTACATCCAGAACATGTGCATCTCATGGGGGCCCAGAGAAGGGCCTTCTCTACTGTGGCCCCCACATTACAGGGGAATTCAGCCGCTCTGCCGGCTGGTGAAAACTTACCTATTTGCATAGGCATTCCTGGGCAATGATCCTTAGGACCAGCTTTCCTGAACTTTGAATATGCTGGTTTATGTTTTATCGTTATTCTGGCAAACTGATTTTATTTTGTAAACCACATTGTTATATTTCAAAATAAACACCAGCCTATCAATAATTTTCAATACATAAATTAATGCACAAGTATGTCATTTGAGGTGGCAGGCAGAGGACTGAAACAAAGTACAGTAAATGCTTGGCTGGGAAAAGACTTGAACAGGGCTTTGTGGCTCAAACACGGACTATACCATTCCTCAAATCCAAATGAATTTGTTTCTTTTTGGCTATATATCTTTAAGGCTCAACTGGTAGGTTTAGTCCCCAATACAGGATGATTTACCATTTCCTAGGCTTTCATATAGTGGCCGTAAGTCTTGATATGCTGCCAGGTTACTGCTGCAGAAGATTTCCTCTATTGCTGACAGATTGCCCTGAATGCTCTCAAGGACATTGTACACCACTCTTTGAATATCATCTGGATTTGCAGTTACCCAATCTAGCAAATTCTAGAAAGAAACAATACAGGGTTTTTAAATCTCTGCCTTCAAAACATCTTTTAGACTGAAAATACAGAGTAACTTTCCCATTTCCCACCAGATCTAACAGCAGATTATTTGGATAATCATCCCAGCACAATCAAAGGAAGCAGAAATTGTCAATGTAATTTTATCCTCCTTTGCCAAGTTCAAATGCCTTGCGCAGCTTACATGTCTCTGAACACTAACATCCTATCCTATGCCTTTTACCAATGGCAGAGAAAGACTCAAGGCCACTTTTTCAGAAACAAGCCACAACCTGGATGGAATCGTAGAATCAGTGCCAAGGGCTTTCTGGCAGTTCCCTCACTGCAAGAAGTGAGATTACAGGGAACCAGGCAGAGGGCCTTCTTGGTTCTGCCCTGCCCTGTGGAACGCTCTCCCATCAGATGTGAAGGAAATAAACAACTATTCAACTTTTAGAAGACATCTGAAAGCAGCCCTGTTTAGGGAAGTTAAATTCTGTACTGTGTTTTTGGGAGTGGCTGGGGAAACCCAGCTAGATAGGCGGGGTATAAATAATAAATTATTATTATTATTATAGAATGGCGCAATTGGAAAGGACCCTGAGAATGATTGAGTCCAACCCTCTGCAATGGATGAATATGCAGCTGTCCTGTGCAGGGATCAAACCTGCAGTCTTGGTGTTATTAGCACCATGTTCTAACCAACTTAGCTATCCAGGCTGCTGCTATTCCATTTCATTTCACTTTTAATTTGTATACCATCTTTCTATATTGCTATACACAAGACAGTTTACAATATGAAGAAGCAACAAAATATACAAGGACACACATAACAATCCAGTGCAAAACAAAGAAGTCATAATAAAAATGTGACTTAAAATAAATATATTATATCAAATAAAGGAAAATGTGATAATCAATTAGAATAAAACACAGCACTCTCAAATTATCAACAAATAATAATTAAACAGAAATTCACTCTCAACAATAGAAAGAAATCATTACTAAATTATAATCAATTAAAAAACAGCAAATTTACAATGAATTAACAAAGTAGGAATTTAACCAGAAAATAATTGCATCAGTTAGATCAGTGTTTCCCAACCGGTGTTCCGCGGCACACTAGTGTGCCGCCGGACGTTGCCTAGTGTGCCGTGGGAGGGAGGCGGGCGAGGCGGGCTAATCCTCCGGCCCCGCTCCCCCGGGGAACGTGCCCCGTCATCCGCTTCTGCCTTGCTCCCTGTGACAGGAATTCCCCAAACTGCATCAGCATCTGCCGCTTGCCCAGCAGCCCCGGCGCTGCCTTGCACCCGGCGCCCCCGCCATCCTCGGCGCAGGGAGCGAGGGGCGCGCAGGCAGGCGCTGCCCGGCGGAGCGACGGCTCCTTCCGAGTGGCTGGCAGTGTCTGGGCATGACTGGCCTCCCGCCTGGTCCCGCGGCGGCTGCAGACGCGGCCGAAGCAGCGCAGGGAAGGAGACGCCCGGCCGCCCAGCCCAGCCCCGCACGCTCCCACTCTCTCTCGGCGGCTGGGGAGCGGGGCCAAAGCGGGCCCCCACCTGAGTGGCGGCTGCGTGAGCCAATAGGCGAGCTGGGGCAGAGGGGGAGGCGGGGCTCCGGAGAACAAAGGAGGGAGGGGGCACCCGGGAGAAGGGGGCGGGGCGGGAGGAGCGGGGAGCGCGGCGCTGCGCCCGGGACGCCCCAGTTCCGCCGGGTTAGAAGCCGGCGGCCTACCTCTGCTGGCCGTGGAAGGCAGCCGGGTCTGGGTCGCGCCCCGAGAGTGGCGGGGTCCGCGCACAGCCTGCCCTCCAGGCTGGGAAGTGGCTCCTAGGCTCCGCCTGAAGCCACGCAGAGCCCGCAAGGCGCCCTCGGCGCAACTTGGCCGGGGCAAAAGGCGAAGCTCTGGAGGGAAAGGCGGCCGGATTCCCCTCCTCGGCGGGTCCGGTGGTCTCCCGCCTCCTCTGAGGAAGGGTCTCTTCTTCAGCTTTTCTGATCCTTCGTGGCCCCGTTGGGAGAAGCCGAAATAAATAATGGCCGTGCCATTAAAGTTCTCTCTTTGGGAAGACCAGCCTGGTCCCCCTGGTCCTCTGGATTGTTCACTCAACCAGTATACCTGAAGTAGCGTCTCCGCCACCATCGTTCAGCCCAGACACTGAGATCCAGTGCCAAGGGCCTTCTGGCAATTCCCTCACTGTGAAAAGTGAGGTTACAGGGAACCAGGCAGAGGGCCTTCTCGGTAGTGGCGCCCGCCCTGTGGAATGCCCTCCCATCAGACATCAAAGAGATAACCATTACCTTCTATGCTGTTACTATTTTTTTATTTTTTTTTTACATAAGTAAAAAGTGACCTTTCCCCATCTGGCATGGTGGTGTGCCTCGAGATTTTTTTCATGAAACAAGTGTGCCTTTGCCCAAAAAAGGTTGGGAAACACTGAGTTAGATAAAATAGTCACCTGAAAATTTTCTTCAGAGATTATATTCTTGTCTCGTAGGCCATAGAGAAAAGGAAACAAATCTCTAATTGCAGCAGAAATCTCCATTTTATGGGCTCTGAACCACTCCAAAATTTCAGCTGAAGTACCTGGAGCAGACATACTGCAAACAGCACAAAACTATGTTTTAAAGACCTTGGATATCATGTGGTTTTTAAACAAGCAAAATTAAGCATTATCTAGCGTTTATCTAGAATGATTCCGTTTCCAAAAATGAGAAACCCTATCATGGAATCCTTAGCTTTAGATCAGGCTGTGGAAATAATTGTGTTGCGATTTCCTCTTTCCACTTCGACGCAGCTTTAGGTGTCCCTTGCGAATAATACCAGCCCGGTTAATTTACCCTAGTCTTCTTCTGCATTTAATCTGAGTCCCCAGCTGTGGCAGAAGGGGGGTCCCTCCGGAGTCTGTCGCTCTTTTGCGAGAGGGAGTCTAGCGCAGACGGGAAGCGCGGTTCCCCCGGAGCGCCTTTTCCTTGCGGAGGAGACCGACCTGTCCCTTGACTTACCTTTCTGCTTTGACTGAGCGGAGATGGGGCTGTGAGGAAGGGGCTGAAGAAAGCAGGAGGAGGACTCCCCCGTCCAGAAGAGCGAGAGAAAACGAAACTCAACGTCTTCCAGTCGAGGGCTGGCGCTGCCTGCTCTGAGCTGCGCTCGGGGAGAAGTGAGGAACTCTGCCCGTTTCATGGAAAGGAAATCATCACGGAGACAGAAATCAGGAAAGGAAACCGAAACTGGAGGAACGCTTGATGATAAACCACGAGTTTCCCCCCTGCCCCTTGATATTGCATAAGATATTGTCAGTCTTTGACTTGAGAGGCCCCTCCCGTCCTCCATCACAGATCATGACCCCAGCCTGCAGGTAAGGACTTGTGTGGGATCCAGTCCAGGGATTTCTGACTAGTTCCTTCAGTGCCTCGTGATCCTTATGATGTGAACTTAAAGCGATGGTTGAGCAGAGCCATTAACACACACACACACACACACACACACACACACATATATATATATATATATATATATATGCTTTCGTAGATTTTCACGGGTACAGGAATGCAGGTTTTGGTGTCCTCGGGTGTCTTCCCGTGTAAAAGTTGGGGTGTCTAGGCGACGTTTCGACGAGGTCTCACTCGTCATCTTCAGGCTGGTGCTTTCGACTTCTTGTTACTGGAACAGAGCAGGATCTCAGTGTTTGAGTTCCTATAAATACTGTTGAGGGGGTGTGGTGTATAGCCTCCAATGTTCTGGGCAGAGAGGAAGTTCCCAGGCTAGTGTGCCTTTTCTTCTTTTGTTCCTTAATTACTTGAGGGATATCTTGAGTGATTTCTTGAGTGATATCCTGAGTACCACTTAGGTGGGTCATTAGGTGTGTATGTATATGTGTGTGTGTGTGTATATATATATATATATATACACACACACACACATATACATACACACCCACACCACCCTATACCCGAAAAGATCAGCATAAAAACCACAGTATATATAACCAAAACAAAAACAACAACCCAATAACACCCCTCCACAAGAAAGAGCCACGTTTTAAAAGGATATAAGATGTCAATCAGGCAAAGGCCTGGTTAAAAAGGAACGTTTTTGCCTGGCGCCTAAAGGTGCATAATGAAGGCACCAGGTGAACTTCCCTGGGGAGAGCATTCCACAGACGGGGAGACACTGCATGAGTTTGAGAAAAGTCTGGCAGGGATGGGGGAACCCTTTTCAGTCCATGAGCTGCGTTCCCTGCTAGACAAACCTTTCAGGGGCCGGATGCGTTGGTTGGAGAGGCCAGAAGGAAAAGTTGGTGGAGCAATATATACATGAATTTACTTGCACATCCATCTAAACAGAGAGAGCAACATCTGGGTATCAGCTGATTAGACATTGATGATTTTATTTTAAGTCACTTCTTAAACCCAAAACACACTAAAGTTGTATGGCTGAATAGCTGTAATATTGAAGCACGTATTTGGAAGTGATGCTATTTTTTACCGCAAAGTTACCAGCATCTTGCTTATGCATTCTCTTGCACAACAGCATCCTACCGTTGCAAAATATTTCAACAGCAAAACAAGTATGTTTCTAGTTTAGCACTACATTGAATGCATCCCATTACAGCATTTCCCTTTTTTTGCCCCAATCCTTGCAGTTCAGCACATTTTAAAGATGGTAGGGATCCTCTTGCCTTTTAAAGCTTCTTTCAAAACCTGGTAGAAGTTTTGATTTCAGCTTCAGACCTGGTGCCTAAAGGTGCATAATGAAGGCACCAGGTGAACTTCCTTGGGGAGAGCATTCCACAGACGGGGAGACACTGCATGAGTTTGAGAAAGGAATGGCATCAATTTGAGAAAAGCGTGGCAGGGATGGGGGAACTCTTTTCAGTTAATGAGCTGCGTTCCCTGCTAGACAAACCATTCAGGGGCCGGATGCATTGGTTGGAGAGGCCGGAAGGAAAAGTTGGTGGAGCAATATATACATGAATTTACTTGCACACTCCTCTCTATCATCCAAGCAGGGAAGAAGCATTATCAGAGTTCGAGGACACATTGCAGCTAGGCAGAAACACTCAAGGAGTGTGCAATGGAGGGCTGTGTTATATGCAGTGCTATTTTTATAGACAAAGAGGTGCCAGAACTCACAATGAATGCCTTTCTTCTTCCCTTATAATAGCAATGGTGCCCACCTGAGAATTCCAGCGACTTCTGGCTGAAAACAGCCCTGGTTATATGTTTAATGCACATATAATGCTATGTTTGTTGTGGGTTGTTGTTGTTTTGTATGGGGACAGAACTGGTGTTTTTCCACTGGGTGTGGTGGTGACTGCATCTGGAGCTATAAGCCTCCTGATTTAACAAGAGGTCTGAAATCTGAGCACCTGCCTATGTAAATGTGTAAATAGGGCTGCTTACATCACAGAGAGAGACACAGGTGCTGTGAGATGCCAGCATGCAGAGAACAGAGAGAGGTGCATTTTGAATTTAGCGATAAAAACTATGTTTAAATTCTCTCTGGGATGAGGATTAGAGGGAGAATGTTTTAAAGAACTGAACCACTGCTAGTTCAGTGTTTAAGACAGATGCTTTTCTGCAGTATAGCTTTTAAAAGTATTTTTTCCCCTACACAAGAGTCCAGATTTCGGACTTCAATTCTACAACTCTAAAAGGGTGTGGAGGCAGTGTCATCTAGGGAGAAGGGGTGTGGCTGGGGAAAGTCCAGATTGAAAGGTATAGAGGGCCACAACCAATCCCCTGGCCTCAAGTTCCCCATCCATTGTCCAAATTGAGGGGAAATACCTCCTTGGGGCAAAGTGTGAATGAGATCCAGGCAAAACTGAGATTAACTGAAGAATGGGAGCACCTTTCAGTGATGCAGAATTTAGGGTAAATTGTATCATAATCCTTTCTCACATCCCAGAGAGTGAGCCAATGTAGCCTGTTTATTCTGCTTGCGTTTACTTGTCTTCAAATGTCAACTTCACCTCTCCACATGCAACACTGACAAAAGTTTTTAAGACAACACATTTTTGTCCCTGGACTGTGTATAGTCATGCACTCACAAGTCTTGTGGATACACAAGACAAAATACCAATAATGTTCTTCTTTGCTCCTCCAGGAACATAATTTGTTGTTTATAAAGCGCCTAATAATGCTAGCACTCATCACATATGTGCTTGGTACATAGGTCCCCCCCCCAGTAGATGGGAGCCACTATTTCATGTCTTGTTGGTCAAACATTTTTTCCCTTTTTAATACAGTGGTACCTCAAGGTTAAGAACTTAATTTGTTCCAGAGGTCCATTCTTAACCTGAAGACCACTTTAGCTAATGGGGCCTCCTGCTGCTGCTGTGCCGCCAGAGCACGATTTCTGTTCTTATCCTGAAGCAAAGTTCTTAACCTGAGGTGGAGTCTGTAACCTGAAGCGTATGTAACCTGAAGCGTATGTAACCTGAAGCGTATGTAACCCGAGGTACCACTGTAGTTGTATCCTCTTTTTGATTCCAGCTGCTTTTACCTATGGAGAAGAAAAGTGACCTGTGGCTTCTCAGCTTCCTGCCACAGCCTGCTCTCCATGACACTGTTTCAGTGAGGCTGCTGAAATTGGATGGATAGCCTCTTCCAAAGCCAAGCAGCATGGTTCCAACAGAGGGTGGCAAAGCTGGAGCAGTCCAAAGTGAGGAGGAAACCCTCACATAAGAAAGAGAAGAGAAGGCTACAGCTTTGCATGGTGGTGTGGTGAGTTTGGTTGTGACCCACCTGGAGTGGCCTCACAACCCAGCTGTGGGTCCTGATGACCCAGCTGTGGGTCCTTCAGCCTGTGGGTTGCAGACATAAGGTGTAGATTAAGCTGCAGAGGGTGGTGCATAAGAGCCTGCCTTGGGCTCATATTGTTATGACCCAGTTTGAGGGTCAGAACTGGATTGTGAACTTTAAAACAACAGCATTGCTGTGTGTGCCACGGTGACCAGGCCTCAGACACACAATCCAGGACCTCTCTTTGCAAGGAAGTATATAGACAAAAAGCCAGACTAAAGTTGAAAAGCTTTATTTCCTGATCAAACATTTACAGACTGGGCATCCTTTCTGTTGTGGAGATTTACCCTGGAAAAGGGTAAATAAAAATTCGAGTGAAGGAGTCATCCTATCTAAGCAGACTAACCCTAATCCATACACATACCAAGGATGGCGTGATACTTATACATACAAAGGATCCCAGCCAGGGATCCTAACAACAAGCAAAAATAGAAAAAGACTGAGGCATGAGAAGGTATTGCAGACATATTTGCCGCTATGGACAAGGCCAGCCCATCCAGGAGGTCAGGTGAGATGACTGCCTTAGGCGTAGCAGATCCCAATGTCAATATTTATACCCCACTTGTTCCTGGTGTACATCTTCACTCACCCCTTCTTCCCTGGGCAGAAGGTGGGGGGCACCATTTGGTGGTTTGCCTCAGGTATCTAAATGTCTAGCCCTGGTCCTGTCTATAGAGGTTTGCTGGGTAGCCTTCTCCCAAATGGCACTGAGACAGAGGTTTTACATAGACAAAGATGGGAAGCAACATCCTCTCCAACAGGATCCAGAATGCCATAATGTTGCAAAAGCAGCAAAATCCATTGGCCAAATCCAGGGTTGTCCTAATGTTGTCCTCTCCTCGTTTCATGAGGCCAGTGCAAGCAGCAAAGTCCAGATTTGCTTGCCTCAGAGTTCCAACTTGATTCTTCACACCTCTCATTTACCAGCCCCAAGCTCAGGTCTTTGTTCTTAGCCCGTGGAAACAAACAAAAAGCCCCTCCAAATGCATACACATATACACATACTTTCAAATATGCTGTCACTAAACAGAGTTGCTAAGGACATTTTGGCTTGGTATCAAGGTTACTGCTAACTTTTCAGTCTATCTGGGTCATAGGCACTTAACTTTAAAATGAAAGCATAGGGTAAAGTTAAGAGGTTTTAAAAACAGCAAGCAAGTTAGCACCTTTTGGGATGGATGGCTCACAAGTGTGAAGACGGAACATAAGTAATTGCTTACAGAATAGAAAACACTTCCCAAAATTTCTTAACAAATTTATCTTCCACTACTTTTCCATCTACTGAAATTACCAAACCCTAAAGGGAGAAGATATCATAGCATTCACTTTGATATATATGGAGATCATTGCTTGATTTGGTTCTATTTTACCATCGCCTGTCAACTTTTTCTCAACAATCTTCCTGAAAAGATCTGGGACATGAATTGCAGTGTATCAGTGACCTCTCTCCTCACAGCACACAGAGCACACAGCACACAGGTCATCTGGCTGAAATGGAGAAGAAAAAACAACACCTGTCACTGTGAAAAATA